CCTCCGCGTGATGAACCCCTTGTCGCTAACGTCTGTCTCATTCTTCAGCAGTGCATCAATGATACACCTCTGGCCGAACACCTCACCAATACCTCTATCATCCTCGACCTGCTCAAAGTCATCACAGTAAGTCTGTCGGGTATTTCCCCCTGTCGTAGGCAACTCAGTCGGCTATTCTTCTGCTTTCTCATCTTATTTATTTGTTGCACTTGTGAAAAACTGGGCGGCCTCGATGAGGTTTCGAACCCACGACAGCGCTTGGAAGGCTTTAGAGTGCAACCAACGCTCTAGCCACCTAAACAACCTGTATTATGGGTGGTTCCTCTTGCCACGTCCCAATCAATCCCATCTCCGAGGAGATGCGCAAATAAACCAGAATGTGGAAATAGATGAATTAAATCTATCTGCAAATGACCGTCTTAGCGCTAGTAGCTAGTCTGTACCCGCCAGCTTGGCTAAGTAGGACTTTGTAAGCGCAGTGATGGTAGCTAATCGGGGCACCTTGATCTAACCATTCCGTCTCCTCTCTGCTCATCCGTTAATAGCGGCGTCTAAGGTACGCTTCTGTTCTAGCCTGTGAGTAGTCTCCTACTGTCCCTGCACCACCAGAATGTGGAGCACATCGTAGATGGTCGACAGTCGAACTGTGTCAATAATTTCCTCACACCTGACGGTCAGCCGTTACATCCTATCCCTCAGTATGCTTTTACCGCACTCTTTTATTCGTGAGTAAATCGCTTACGACGTTCGGTTTTACTTGTCTATAAGTATTGGTGCGTGCCCGTGATACGGGTACTTCGCACGTGTTATAAAAAGGGTGAAGTTATAAGGGCATGAAACAATGCAGGTGGACTTTTATCCTTTCCCTAGTCCCTGTACTTTCTGCTACCGTTTGCGGTCCAGCTTTCCAACTCACTGTAAGCGTTCCCCTGTGGCTGCTGACTACTTTGGTGAATTTTATTGCTGGTGCTGACCTTAGCGGTTTCGGCATGATCCCTGGAAAGACTGGCTGTTAGTCGAAATCAAATTTGAACTAAACACTTTAGGTGAGTTTGCTGCTGCTCACCCCTTTTATTTACACTCAGTTGCGTGAATGCTTGTTATGCCTGTTTTAAGCACACCACCCAAACCGACTTTGTGGTCACGTTTTATTTGCACCTTTTTCAGGAGGCTGAGCGGGTGGAGACCAAGCGGAACGCAGCCATCGTTGTGGGCAAGTTGGCCTCCTCTAGCCACGTCCACCGCGATGAGTTAAACCGACTGAACGGCATGCGCGTCCTCACCCCCTTCGCGCAATGGACAAATGCTCTTTGTGGAGATTTTATGGGCTCCCGTATAGCTGGTGGGCTCTAGTGGCCCTGCTCGCACTTCCATTTACGCGTTTTTGAGCTCCTACCCCCCACCCC